TTTTTCAAAGTTGGCCACTTTTTTTTTTAAATTTTTTTTTCTTAAAAAAAAACTTTAATCAATTTGACGACTAGTCCCGCTCATACCGGGCAGGGCCGATTTTGTTTTATATTTTTTTTATGTGATTGAAAAAAAAAAGATTTTTATTATTCAGAAAATTTGACAATTTTTTTTTCAATTAAATAAAAAAAATTAAAAAAAAAATCGGCTCTACCCGGGATGAGCGGGACTAGTCGTCAAATTGATTGAAGTTTTTTTAAGAAAAAAAATAAAAAAAAGTGGCCAACTTTGAAAAATAACGTTTTTATTAAAAAAAAATTGATTATTTTAAAAAATTGATCATATTTAATTTTTTTTGTGAATTTTTTCAAAAAGTTCATTCAAAAACAAAAATTTAAATAACAAAGGTACCCAAAGGTCAATGTCTAAAAAAATTATGGCTATTTGAAAATAAAAAGCCACTTTTTTGGGAAATTTAGAACTTTTTTTGGGTTGGACAAAAAAATTTGAAAAAATTCTCTAAAATGTTATCAAAGGGTAGAAAAGAATGATATTTTCAGCTAAATCTAAAGAGGTCGAGTTCAAAAGTGGTCGATTTAGCATGGAGTACCCCATATACTATAAGTAAATGATTAAAAATTACGTACCGCTTGAACCGACAACTACGACATTATTAATCTGCCTGGTGTCTGTCTTGACAAAGCATATTTGATCTTCCTCCTCATTTAAATCAATGGGAACAGGATTACCATCAGTCCCCAACTTAAAAACAAATTTTGTCTCGACAATCCATCCATCTTTACCATTTTGCACCAAACAGAATTTGTCAATCTGATCGCTCATTGTAATGAATAAGTTTTCTATAAAAAAAAAAAAAATTATCACCATGTTGAAGAGTTAAAAATATTTGTAACAACTCATCAGTGCTACGTACTGAATAAAAAATTACGTTTACAGATAATAAAAGTACAGGTCCACTGTAATGACTATCAATTTAATAAATTTTAAATTTATTTTAACTACTTTTTTCTCTTTGATTTTTTTAATAATTATCCGGTAAATGAAATTTTTATAGAATATATGAATTAGTAATAATAAAGTTCCTTTTTTTTTTTAATTAAAAATGTTATGTAAGTATTTTTTTACTTGTTTGTCAATTTAAAAAAAAATAAAATGATTTTCAAATTTTTTAATTTATTCCAATTTTTTAATTTATTTCAATTTTTAAAATATTTTTGTTTTTAAATTTATATTGAATTTTCCAATTTTTTTATGATTATTATCTGACGAATAAAATGTTATAAAAATGAAAATTCAAGTAGCTGATATCTAATAAATTTAGGAAATTTTTTAAGAAATAAATTAGTACAAACAAATTCGAAAAAAATTGACATATAGAAATTTTAAAAAATAAAAAATGCTATTTTTTAAAATTAATTTTTTAGAATAAATTTTTTTGTTAAATAAAATTAAAAAATTGTCAAGTGACTGCTAACTTTAATGTCATGTTATAAAAATAAAACTGTTGATGATAATATTCGTTAGCTTAGATTTACAGAAATAAATCAACAATTAAATGTAGCTACTTTCTTACTTGTCTGAAAATTACAGAAATTTGAAAAAAATAAGGATTTATTTACAACAAACATTAAAATTTATTATAACGTACCTCAAGGATAATATCTGGTCTATTTTTCTTTCTTCCACGGTTGCAACAATTTAGGTTAACTTCACCAACTCAGCTGTAGCTTAAACGCGAAACATTGTATATACCAAAAATCTTCAGGTCGTCCCGAACACAGCGCCGTCAGTGAAAATTTTCAGAACCACTTGTAACGTACTGTCAACGTTCTCTGTATTTGACTCGCCCGTACAGGACCATTGTCTGTACTTGACTCGTCCTTGTCCATAAGAGCTGTGTAAAATCGTCAAATACAGAGAGCGTCGACTGTAAATACATAATTTTTTATCCAATGCTACACGACATACAACGTTTGCTTGTTAACAATATAGTCCAATCACAACCTCAAAATGTTTTGATTCAAAATAATTTTTTACAAGAATTTGCTAAATATTACTGTTTTTTTATTGTTATTGATTGAATAACATAATATAATACTGGTTAAGATTTTGTTTGTTACATATTTTTATAGTCATAAATTATAAAATTGTCGATGGCAAAAATTTTTTTTGCTATTCAATAGAAAATTGCCAATTTTTAATAGAAAAAAAAATTAAGATTTAAATAATGTACAATGTCTTTCAATGATTCGTACTGATCGAAATTTTAGAGAAAATGGAAACATCAAAATTTGGACAACTCTAAATAAAGAAATTACTAAGTAAAAAATTTATATAAATATTATTTTAGAAATAATAAAAAAATTATTTGTTTAAATGAGGATAATTTAAAATTTCGATAATAATAAAAATAATAATATAAAAATTTAGTTACCAAAAAAATGGAATTATTTTAAAAAAGATAAGCATAAAATTATGAAATTTAAAAACAAGATATCCGTGAAATTAGACAAACCGTAAAACAAACACGCACAATGTAAGATATTTAAAAAAATGGAAAAGAATAAATTTAGACAAGTCAATAAAAAGACAATTGAAAATTTTGAAATATAAAAAAGTAAACAATTTAAATTATTCGTAAATTTAAAAAATGGACATCTCTAAATATAGACCAGAAAATTTAGATATCTTTAATTTTCGACATCTCTAAATATTTACAATAGTAAATTTTTACAATTTATAACAAATAGGATTAAAAATGTAGTAATCATGAAAAATAGGCGCTAAGAAATTTAGAATACAAAAGATAACTAAAAATTAATTAATTTTCCTGTGACCGCTGCTCCAGGAAGTTTTAAAGTTATTTTTAATCGATTGGCTTGTAATTTCAAAAACACACCAAGATTTTGCTTTTAATCTTGGTGAAAAATATTTTCGATGACCAGGAACTACCAACAGCTCCTGTGACCGCTGCTCCAGGAAGTTTTAAAGTTGTTTGCTATCGATTGTCTTTTAATTTAAAAAACCCAGAGATTTTACCAATATTAAAAGTAAAATCTTGGTGTTTTTTTTTAAATTAAAAGACAATCGATCAAAAATAACTGAACAGCTTAAAATCTTTTCTGTCCTTTCAAGCTTTTCAAGAGTCCGATACGATAACTAGGTCATGAGATATCGACATTTAAAATTAAAAATAGAAAATAAAATTTTAGTTTAAAATTCGTGCAAGGTCTAAAAATTGTTGTTTTATGCCCAGGAATAAACGACTCAATTTTCTAAGCAATTTGATCTTTTCCCACCGAACTATATCATGTGTTTCTTAAATAAGCCTAATTTTCAATTGTTCATCCCTTTTGAGTTGTTATCATTTAATCTGCTATCATTTAATTTTCTCCGTGCAGTGTATACACTATGTACACATCGTGTATGCACGGTGGATATACCGTATATTTACTATTAACACACACTGTGTATACACCGTAGATGCATCATGGATACATCATGTATGTGCTGTGAATACGCGGTATGTATACTGTGGACACACGGTGTGTATACCGTGGACACACGGTGTGTATACCGTGGACACACGGTGTGTACACCATCTATACACCGTGATTTCACCGCTGATGGACTCCGTGCAAACACCGTATATACACGGTGTATAGACTATGTGTCCACGCTATACACACCGTGTAAGCACTGTGCATCTACCTTCTATACACCGTGTATGAATGCCACAAATGTGTGGTGTATGAACCATGTATATACGGTATAAGCACGGTGGATTCACTACCACGGTGTATACACCGTGTATACATCGTGGACTCAAGGTCGCGAGGGTACTGAGAAAGCGCTGGCTATCAGGGTTAATTAATTATAGACTCAAACCAAATAAACTAATTTTGAGTTATCACTAGAGGTAACAAAAGACAGATTTATTGGACTGTGCCTTCTGACGTTCACTTAACATAGACCCCTATCAGAAAATAACGTCACAAAATCCAGCTTGAACATTTATGGTTTTATTCAAATTATATAATACTAGCCTTCCGCCCCGGCTTCGCACGGATATTTAACAAAAATTTTCAAATTATTCATAATATAAGATAGCCTATGTCACCCGGAGAGAGTTTAGCTTCCCAACAGTGAAAGAATTTTTCAAATCGGTTCAGTAGTTTCGGAGCCTATTTAATGCAAACAAACAAACAAATAATCAAATCTTTCCTCTTTATAATAATAGTATAGAAGTATAAATTTATTGATTAACAATATCCGCGTAGTTGTATATGTTGATAAATTGAATCCGTTTATGAGAATGCACAGAAAGAAAAATTTGTTGACCGGAGAACCAAATTCTTGGCTCACGAAAATTTTCGGGTGCCTGAAGGAAGATCGAAGTTGTTGGCCGAAGTAGAAATTTTTCTTGAAATTCTATTCTTGGTGAAAGTAATTTTTTCTTAATTCTAATTATCATAAATACTTTATACAATAAATTTTTATATTTGATCAAGATTTTTAGATACTTAAGGGAAGCAGCGCCACCTACTTCAGCTGAGAAAAAAATTTTCTCACCTTGAGAAAATTTTTCTCTTGAATATTTGATACCCATTTTCTATTATCCACAGATTCGGTAGAATCTGGCGCCAAGTTCCGTTCAAACCCGTTGTAAACGGAGCGCCAGACTACCGACTGTGTTTACTGTAAGCAGAACGGTATTTTGAGGTTGCAAAATTTTATTTAATTCTACGGTTCTTTTTATTCCTAAATTGTATATTATAACAGTAATTCATACTTTATTTTACTGTTATCAATTAATAATATTCACTTATAACAATTAATCTACTCGAAATTATTAAATTTAATCAGCACAAACTATAGCAACGCAAAAATTTCGATCCTGATTTTTTTTCGATGGGCACAGTGATCTGCCACAAACTAAATGATTCGAGAATGCATACTAATCCTTCATTAGATGGGAAACTACAGTTAAAAAAAGATATTTCACAGCTTGCATCTACACCCGCCAGGGTGCGCTGGAATTATTTTTACATAAACTGTAGCTTCAAGGGGATAGTTTGCTATAAAAAATGCAGCCAACGCGAGATTCAAGTTGGTACCAATTGTAATTTTTTATTTTAATTACAAAAAATACTAAAGTCCGAACAAAAACAGTTTCACTGTAAAAAAATCGCGCCAAGTCCACGTTCATAAGATTATTAAGAAAAAAAAATTGTTTTTTTCTTTACAAAAAGATATAAAATAAAAAAATTAAAAAATCCAAGTAACCGATATAATTGTTTATGATTTTCGGAAATTAAAAAAAATTTTGTTGTAAATTTAAAAATTAAAAAAAAAATTTGGAACGTACTTGTGTATGTGTGTGTGTGTGTGTGTGTCGTAAAAAATGTATGTCGATCGCCGCCGGGCTGGTCGAAGTCGTTTGATTCATTCGTGAGTTATCATTGACCAAAAAAATCGAAAAAAGTGATTTTTTCGAATTACTTCGAAAGTTTAGGCCTGATCATTTTGTCTTTAAAAGTAAATTATAGGATTCGAAAAACTGCGTTGAATGTTGCCAACTGCGTGAAAATCAGAATATTCATTCCAAAGCAATTGCTGTTTTAAAATTTAAAGAATAGTGTTTTATTAAATTTCTATCAGACTTCTGAGCTCGAAGAGCTTTGATTAAACTAGAGGAAAAACAAAGACAGTGAAAATTAAAAAGTTAATTTTTTTTTCATCAGTCAAATGTAGTATTTATTTTATTCATGTAAAAAGTTGTTAAAACATAAATCATTTTATTTTAATCAGGAGGGGTTGAT